CACTGAGTTAACCCCAGGTAGTTTCATGCTCAACCGAAACAAAGAGAGCAATGTCGGCATATTTGGCGGCGCTAGGTGGAGGGGGCGAAACTGGACCGCGGCAACTTTCATCGTCCGCGCCCCTCCAAGCCTGAGCCTAGGAAAAATGCAGGATCATTACGTCGGTGAAGTTAAAAAGTAGCCGTGAAAGTTCTACTCTGAAAGTGGGCCCCCTGCAACTTCACTGAGATGCGCCATAATAGTTTGCTAAAATCCTATCGATTTTTTTGACTAATGGTCATAAACCATCGATTTGTGGAGCAAATAAATTGGGAAAAAGGGGGAATTTGGTAGACAATGCAGTAACTTTCCAAATCAATATTTTATTTTGAACTCTTTCATTTTGCCTTTTTATTCCACTCGAAAAAATGGTCTCGATTTCTCACCTTGGAAATATCCCGCCTACATTGCTCGACCAGCGTCGTCACTTTTCGAGCATGTTCCACTTCCAGTTGAAGGCGTGCTCGGATGTATGATAAGAGATCTTTTGAGTAACTGAAATAAGAAACATGTGGTAACAGTACTGGGCGAACTGGTCAGAATATAGACGCTGCAGAGTGATATTAAGCCCCCTCCCCTTCAAGGCAGCGTTCACAGCTCCCGTTTGATTACACTGGAAGGTCAATACAGTTCCGACACTCGGCGCTCGCACAATTGCTTGAAACGCTCTTTCGGCGGGGTCGCGAAGTATGAACGCTGCCGTAGGCTTGAGAAGGTCGTTCCTATATTCAATATGCGTCCGAGCGAGGCTCTTGAAAAAGAAAAAAAACAACGACGCAAAATTTTTGTGAGGAAATCTTATAAAATGAGTGCTGTAAGGCTATGGCATGTAACCCGTCGAGCTGAGGATGAAGGCGAACACGGTAGTGGAATGGATAGCGCCTCCACTCATCAAGCATGAGGTGCGAGTTCGAGCACGGCTTAGAAGGGAACTTTTGCCCTTAGTCAACATTCTTAACCAAACTTTTGTACATTCAATTGGTCAATTCAGGCAGGATGGGTGGGACTTGCGATTCAATTGAATTGGAAAAAATTTCTATCTCAAAGGATACGCTTCGTTATCGGCAACGAGATAAGAACACAAAAATCACGATAAAGGGTCCTGTGATTGGCTGGTGTTGGGTGATAGCCAATCGCAGGCACTCACAGGCATGCCCATTCTCCGGAAAGACTCCCTGAGGCATTACAAAAAAAACATTTGAAATAGGTAGTGAAAATCGTACTTGCTCCATGCTTTCGTCCGTTCAAAAGCGATTTCAAGCCCGTCTATACGAGTGCTCAATATTCGATCAAGGTCCATCACCTGGCTATGTTCGTCTGAAAAATCACGGTATTTGATAATACAGTTTTGCTGCTGCACGCTGCGGACGTCAGATCCGGCTCGCGCATCCGGGCACTTCCAACCATTTCAGGCCCACCAATGGTTGAAATTCGACGCCGCCCCGGACCATATCCTCCCTGAAAGGCCTCGGCATCCCCAGCGAACACGACTGTATTTACTAGATGATTTTATAAAAGGTTATGAAAATGCACACTGTGGTAGTAGCTCTAGTCGACCTACCATTGCAGTTTTTTCAAGTGGGACCCCATTTTCAAAAAAATGTAATTCAAGGTAAGAGTCACACGAGGATGGTCTACGGGAGACATGGTAATGCTCCGTTCCCGTGTAACTCACCCCGGTAACTAGTGATTAAATGAAAATGTACGGTATAATTAATAATAGTTTGCTTACAATTATCTGCTCCAAGCCGTGAAAACAAAAAAAAATTGCAAAACAGGCTAAAAATCTCTGAATACACGTACCAAATCTAATACCAAAACTGGCATAGGAAAATATCGCCAATTGCATAGCCATGGTGAGCTCAGCAAACAGAATGAATCGGTTTTCTTTCGGAAGGGCAGTATTTTCCAAAGGCTATTCCCTTTTTCGGCAGGTTCATCACAACCCGTCTGACTCGTCAACCCCATTAATTTCCTTACCATTTCCGTCAATATCCTGGTAAGTGGAATGACGACGTTGTAAGGTGGCCGATCGTTGGCAAGTCGTATAAACCTCAGTGGAACTCTGAATAAAGAAAACTATTCAAGAAGGTATGGAATTATTGTCTAAATGTATGAGAATTCATAAAAAGTGACTTCCGCTGCTTTTTCAAACTGCCTTTCGTGAACGTAGTAGGTTATAAATAGGAATTTTTGTACCATGGCATCGGGGTGTGTGAATGACGGTGTCAGTACCACCCCCACCACCCCTCTTCACAACTTTCCGCAGCGACCGTCGAAAACAATCGCCTCCTACCCGACTATTTGAGGAGAGGGGAGGTCCATACTTCCAGGAAGTAGTTCTTCCTGAAGTACGCCAAATATGGGTCATACAGCACTCCTGAGAATTCTGTTTGGGGGTAGGTGGAAAATCAGAACGAAATATAATACCCATTAGACGCGGACGCACCTCCCAAACTTGTTTTACTCACGAGCGGAGGTGGGGGGGGGTGTTGCACCACCAACTCCAACCTTCGAACAACTAAATAGTTTGCCGAGTTGCCGTCTAGCGGGTTGTAAAAACCCACAGTCAGAAAATGTTCTCATAGCAAAATACGTCCTCGTTGTGTTTTACACAGCGAATTTTAAGACTCGGTTTCCGCAGAACGATGGTGATATTTATGCGCTCGAACAGCCCTTGCGGAGGAATTTCCGGCGCAGTTCGCCGACGGGGGGGGGGCATTTTGCACTTTCGTTGCTTCACTAGTTCTGGTTTACAAGTCTCACTCTGGTGAAACCTGTGAACTCTTGTGAAGCTGGAGCAAGCTCGTCAAGCCATCATGGTAAAACCTGTCAACTCGAGAAGAGGCTGTCTAGATGATTCGACTCAATGGGAACCCCCTATCATTGCGTCAATACAGCGCCATATTCATCTAACATCAAAATGTCCCGGACTTGACACACTTGGAAAATAATGCAGTGAAAGTTAACAAATAGCAGAAAGTATTGCAACAAAATATTACTGAGATGCCACGTGGAAAACAGCAAATCCCTAGAAACCTCGCCAGTTTCCCCGAAGCACCAAACGACATCTCTAAACAATAACAATTAGCCGTAACCGAACCCAATAACGTGCCGTAATACAACTATTAATCAATCAAATCTATCAAATGTGGCTAATTTATTAATTACTTATTCCTCCATATTATTTCAGACCACCCTTGTACATACTTATTCAAGATAACACACCCAACCATAGTGATGGAGCACAGGCTGGAAGAGCAAAAACCAAAAATATGCAAGAAAAAATGAGATCACATACAACGCCAGAAGGTCAAAATAAAAAAATTTCAAATCCATACTTGGAAACTTAAAGATGGCGATAAAACCCTACAGCCATTCCCTAAAGTTTAGTTTCAATACAATAAATTTTTCAAAATAGATAGCTCTTCATTAATTCCATATATACAACTTTAATAATTATTTCTTCATATATGATAATACAGAGATCATCTAGAAATTAATGACTACAGTTAAAATACAAATTGTGATTCATGAATTCCTTGAGCAATGCAATTCCTACTTATCATATTGAAAAATCACTGACTACTCTTAATTATTATATCTATCATTTGGCAAGATCAGATCAAGAGGATAGATGGACGTCACAGAGACCTTTCACGAATTGAAACCACGAACAGAGACGCAATGTCATCGGAACAAATTGCACTCTAAACAAGAACAGCGGAACCCGTGCTACCGGCGGCGTACTAACCAGAAAAGATCAAGAGAATATAACTCGAGAGGAGGTACCCACCCTTAATTATGTACGCCTTTGCCTTTTATTTTTGTCTTTTCACAATCGGGTCTAGCCTTGCAAGTCCTGTGAATCCATATTAAGTACCCTGTGTTCTCCATTTTCTTTCAAATCTTGAAAATCTATGCCGAAAGGGTGTAGTTCGGCGACGGGAGAGTCATTTCGCACTTTGCACAGTGCCCATCGACGTGTCGACTCAATCTAGGCACCCTTAAATCCATCAAGATTACCATGGTGCTCGACATCGCGCTTGCCCCTCTTCACAAGAGTTCAGCGATTTCACCAGTTTAGACTTCAGTAACTATGAAAGCAACCAACCTATGATAATCCCCTCCCGTCGCCGATTGCGTCCTGACAAGGCTTAAGATTGGTTCCTCCCTCCCCCCCTCAGCCTGAGCTTAACACGCCTCGTCGAGGCCTTAAAATAATTCTCTTAAGGCACGCCCAAAATTCACACTCGAGATGCTTTCTAAGTCCCTGTTAAGAGAGCAATACCGAGTCAAGTTTTGCGACACTGAATTAGTTGTTTTATTCTTTGGAGATAAAAAGCTAATTCAAATTTTTGTTATGAGATTTCACTTGTTTGTATTTTATAAAAATCTTAACGACGCCTTGTAAACAAGAAAAGTTTGAGAAAGTACCTATAATTTATTCATACTTCATTTGCAACAAAATGCCAAGTTTCAGAACTTAGCAATAAGCCAGCATCAGCATTATTTTTTCGGCAATGCGTAAGACCATATAATCTTTCCGAAGCGCGAATTGCTGTAAAATTTTCGATTGAAAAACGGCCATTACTTATCGGCCAACCTAATATAAGCAATGAGGCTAGGCCCGAGGAAAGCAGTGGGGAATGGGACTCTTTCAGGCCATTCACACCTTTACGCGAACCTGAGCTAAGCGGTGCTAGGAAAGCGCTCATATAAACTGTGTACCTTGAGCAGGAGGAATATGCACAAAGTGGAACCAAAGCCCTTGCTAAAACTAGGATTTAGAAAAAAAGTCTCAGCTATCAGCACATCCTGTCCTGAAGGAACTTGCCACCCTCAGCGGGTCTTCTTTTTGATCTGATAATGAATAATAATGGCACGGCTCAAGACTGATTGTCCTTACTATCAGCAGGTAGAAATGAGCAGCATCAAGAAGACGCCACCGGCGGAATGACGACGTTAGGAATATTCCCACGACGACCGGACGTGCCTACAGGTGCCTAGCTACAAACCGATTTGCGCCATTCCTAAATCGTTGTCGCCATTATGGCCAATCGTGAAGCTTACGATTATGCTTGGCTAAACAATCAGTAGTAAAACCGGTTAGGATTGATCAGACTACGGTAGACATAGGAAAGAAGGTTGAGGAAGAATGCATCGTATTAGGCCTAGCGAGAAAAGTACCTAGTTTTCTTAGTGAAGAACTTGATCGTTATCGACTTCTGTTCTGTTAACAAACAACACCAGAGACCCTCATCTCTAAGAGTTACTGTGTGGATAATTCCAAATCGACTAATTTTTAGTTCATATACTCGATGGATTCCTGTCTGGCGCCACAGAACGATAGGAAACCCCATGCAACTGTCAATATCTCGTTTTTTTTCAATTGGTGAGACAAGCACGCACTATCAGGACCACGACAGCAGAAAATAGGTACCTAATAGGTACTAAAGGTATTGGACTGATACAGAAACGTTAATAGCGTTTAGAATGCGCCAAACTCCCGTCGTAGTCTTAGCAATCTTTGCTTGCGATTTCTGTGATGCAGAAACCAACCGATGTACAAGTCAGACAATGCCAGACATAGCTATTTATAACATAACTAGGCATATCCCCCTCCCCCCCCTCCCCCCCCTCCGCCCCTAACGTTGACACCTATATCAACTCCAAACAAAAGATGGTTTGTGCATGAGCTGGAACAGATTTAAGACTTGAATCTCGAGCAATGCGTGTGGCGGTGGTGCCACAGCGTGTGCTCCTCAAAAGAATGAGCTATGTGGACTAGGCGATTTCGTTTGAGCAAAGTGAATGAAGGGTAGAAAGACGAAAGCGGAAGGTCATTACACTCAGGAATCTATTTCTATTTTTATTCTGTTTTTGGCCTATCTTTTCTTTTCAAGAATTTCTATCTAGGTGTAGGGGCGAGCTTCATCAGAAGAAAGGAGGAAGAGACCATTCTTCGTTATAAGCTAGTGATGATGCGATCAGGCTGTTCAGGAGGATTTACGGCACTGTTAGGCATGGGAGGGGCATTCTTGCTAGTTCGTTTTGTTCTAACTCATGTTGATAAGACCTGTAAGCTCCTGTAGAACCACAGACTAATGTAATCTGTAAATTGGTACAAAAGATCTATTTAGGTCACAAGGGTTTACAGGTCCCCAATAGATGGCCTGTACAGACTTCGATACACCATTGTTCCATCACCAAGCGAGGGTTTATACTCGCTCATGCATTACGGAACTGTCGGCGGTCAGTGCGCTGCGTTTCGCGTTCCAAAGTCTTTTTGCACCAGTTGTTGAAGCGATCAAATGACATAACAGCATTATATCCTTCGTATTACTGGTTTTTCACCACTTTTTGTCGCATACGCGCTTCAAAGAAAAGCGAAACGTTTCAAACCACCAGTGTCGCAACTCCTGCTGATACGCCCCGAGCAGTCCGTAATGAGAGGAGTGTACTTATTGTGGTACTATAGGAGTGATCCACGCACTGCGTAAACCTTGGCGTGAAAGATGTGAAATTGGTTGAAAGTCGAACATATCATATACAACATGGAATTATATGTCAGTAATAGAAAAATATAGAAAAGAAAAACCTAGAAAATTTTCCAGAAAAATCACCGCGTTTCCGCTCGTCGACGAAACGAAAGCAGCGAACATAGAGCCGTTGCATGGAATTTCTCTGTCTACTCAAGCACTCAACTGTCTCTATAACTGTTTGGTGGAACATATAACCAGATTTGAACGAGTTTAATCGTTGTCTGAGTAGCCATCAGAGAGGAAAAAGGAGTAAATTTTCTGGTAAAGATTAATCTTTCCTAAGTTAGAGACTAGTAAGAAAGAAAATCAGCTGGAGACAGTGAATGAAAGCTTATAACCGTGAGAAGGTTGGTGGCATCAACAATGGTTTTCAACAGGCTTCATTAACCAACAATGGATAAAATAAAGGGAAGTCTCTGCCTTACTGGCTCTGGAGGGGTGGGGAAGTGAGAAGGAGAGGGCACTTTCTTCTAGTTCTGCAAAATTGATAAGCAATCAGGTACTGACATCTCTGTGATATAAAGGACAAAAAGAAACCGTGTTTGTCATCAACTGAATTCTGGTACCAGTCATCTTTCAGAAGGCCAGTTTCCAGAATTTCGCGCTAGGTTGTCATAGAAATTTGTTACAGGAGGTTCATATGGCTATAAAATTGCC